AGAGCCCGACGCGGGACTCGATCCCAGGACTCTGGGATCATGACCTAAGCTGAAGGCAGAGGCTTTAACCCACTGAGCTACCAAGGCGCCCCAAGAACCGTATCTTAAAAATTAAAATTATCTTTAGAGACAATTGTTGGTCATTCACGTTTTGAATGTCACTTTCTTTTTTCATTAATATTCTAATGATATTCCCACTCGTCTGCATTTGGAAATGACTGAATTTGGTGATGTGATAGACATCCAGCCGGTGAGCAAGAGTCTGATGGCAGCATTAGTTAACCTTCAAGTCATTATTAAATGACTCAATCTAATGAGCCAAGTAATCTCTTTCTGTATAAAAGTCTACTAAACAAATTATAGGGTCTTGGGAGCAACTCACCAGGCAAGGAAAATCTCACACACGTATGAACATTTTTCTTCAAATAATGAAAAACAATTAGAATAAATTTAACATTAGTTGGTATTTAATTATTTTAAGTTAAATTTCTCGACAAAAGTGGCACTAACTTGAAAACAAAACGAGATTAAAATAGCCACAATAAGGGTGACTAGATAGGCTACCTTTATTGTTACACGTATGATTTGAAAATTCCCAACCATTTGGTACTTTTTAAAAAAATAATAATAATAAAAATCACAAAATGTCAAGCAGCTTCCACTCTATCCTCAGCAGCTAGCCACTTAGCAATACCAGTCAGTGCTCAAGACACAGAGGTATGAGCACCACAGCAGCCATCACCAACTCAGAGTCCCCTGAAGAGGGAGCTGAGACTACAGCAAAGGACTCCAAAGCTGGAGTGGAAGCCCCATGAGGACAGAGGTGTTTTTGTTTTTCTTTTGTGCACTGACTTATTTCCAGCCCCTAGAACATAGCTGGAACATAGGAGATGCTCAATTAATACAGTCAAATAAAAGGCTGTCCTGAAAGGTCCCTTTGGTCCTCCCAAGGTTGGGAGCAACCAATACAAGGAAAACTCCAAATATGGCACATATCAGTGGGGTCACTGTCAACGTTGTATGGTGTTCCTACTTAAAGTCAAGCTCTCCTTTCTCTAGATTTCCACAGCTCCTTATAATCTGGAATAGACCCTCTAGCACAATTATGAAAAAGGAGCAAAAGTTTCACCTCTCTAGACCAGGAGACATAGCCTCAGTCTATCAGGATGTCCCTAGAATGTACACGGAGGTGCTGTGTGGTGGGCACTGCCTGTGACCAGTCGCAATCCACTCAATCACTAGACAGGAGCACCATGACTCTCTCGCCTAGATTGGGGTCACTGTTACATTTTTTTTTTTTTTAAGATTTTATTTATTTATTTGACAGAGTGAGTGAGTGAGAGAGCACAAGCAAGAGGAACAGCAGAGGGAGAAGGAGAAAGAGGCTCCCTGCTGAGGAGGAAGACCAAAGTGGGGCTTGATCCCAGGACCCTGGGATCATGACCTGAGCCAAAAGGCAGCTGATTAACCAACTGAGACACCCAGGTACCCCCACTGTTACACTCTAACATAGAAACAAACCTTAGTGCTTCTCATTGCAAATCTAGAGAAGAGTGGTCTTACTTCACATTTCTGAAGATCTTTTCAATGTCTGGATTAAGGAAGACAGCTAGATTCTCCTAGCCTTTTCTGTATTCACATGGTTACAAATCATGTAGCCTTTGGAAAACTCCGCTACATACCCCGTAAGCAAGTAATGTTTTAGTATTATTATGAACACAGTTTTGACTCCTGAAAGGGTCTCAGGGGTCAATGAGCTACTCTTTAAGACACTTGTAAAAGAGATGCATGCTAAAAGCCATAATTTTGATCAACACTTAGAAGGGAGTCTCAGACAGGAAATGGGAATTTAAAAAGATGGAGAGGAGAGAGGAAAACATTGCTGACCACGTGTGGCCACACTTTAAAGAAAGCCAAAACATTTTATCAGTGCTGTTGTTATTTTAAATGTTGCCTACCCTTTGTACTTTACTATTTCAAAGGGGAATGAATGGCTACATGAAGGGAAAAAAAGCCAATGCTTCTCTGTGACAAGACATAGCCCAGAACAAAACCCATGTACTATAACTCCTTCCAGTTCCTAGACAAGTGTCGATTGTTAATGAACATTGACTTTTTAGACCATTACTTCTAAGTGGCATTCTAATTATAAGACCCGTAAGTCACCTTTCTCCTGCCTTTCTTTCCTTGCATAATTTTCTGCTGTCATTCAAATATTATTTAACAGGACAAAAGAACAATTTCCAATCACTAATCAGTTCCAAACTGCTGCACAGTTCAATCTTTCTGAGAGCCCATTTCTACAAATAGCAGCTAAATGGCAATCTACAAATCAACTCATTCTAGTCCCTTTTAAACACATACATGCTGGTCCTGAGCTAGGTGCACGTGATTTTCTATCTACTGAAAATGATTCATAAAGAAGCAGAACAGCTGTATTCATTTAAGGATGGTCCGAGACAAACAATTATTTATGAATAATCATCTCACATCATCATTTTCCCCATACTTAAGAAGATACATGATTTCACATTTTCCTTCCCACAGACAATAAAATCAGATTAGTTATGGTGCTTTTTCAGGAAATATTTGGCTTTATCATTCTATTTAAATTTACACCCACCTTAACAAACCTTATGTGAGTTTACTACTAGGCCAGCAGTTACAGGCTCTGGAACAGAGATCTAGGTTTGAATCTGAGAACTGCCACTTGCAATGTGACTTTGGTCAAGTTACTTAATCTGTGCCTCAGCTTCCTCAGCTTTTAAAATGAAGATAATAACAGTATCTGCCTCATAAGTAGATGATAGGATTAAAAGAGAAAATGAGTAAGTAAAGCACTTAAAGCAGAGCCTGACACATAAGAAGTATTCAGTAAATGTTAACTTCTGTTTATATATATTAGTTTTCTAAAATAGTCCCGACAGAGAGAATATTCCATAATAATCTAATAAAGCCCCAGGACAATAAGAAGGAAAATATTAAGAAGAGATGACTGTCTTAGTGGCCTCCCTTCCTAAAAACAGATAAGAAAGTGCCGACAAGCCATGGAAAAGATATCAAAGACATTTTCATAATTATTACAATTTTGTGAAACAAGAAAAAAAAATTTAAAAAGACTGGTCTTGGGGCGCCTGGGTGGCTCAGTGGGTTAAAGCCTCTGCCTTCGGCTCAGGTCATGATCTCAGGGTCCTGGGATCAAGCCCCACATCGGGCTCTCTGCTCCGCGGGGAGCCTGCTTCCTCCTCTCTCTCTGCCTGCCTCTCTGCCTACTTGTGATCTATGTCTGTCAAATAAATAAATAAAATCTTTAAAAAAATAAAAAATTTAAAAAAATAAAAAGACTGGTCTTTCAAAAGAGACTGAAGTAATCTTTTTTTTTAATATTTTATTTATTTATTTATTTGAGAGAGAGAGAGAGAGAGAGAGACAGTGAGAGAGAGCATGAGCGAGGAGAAGGTCAGAGGGAGAAGGAGACTCCCCATGGAGCTGGGAGCCTGATGCGGGACTCGATCCCAGGACTCCAGGATCATGACCTGAGCTGAAGGCAGTCGCTTAACCAACTGAGCCACCCAGGCACCCCAAGACTGAAGGAATCTTAACAGAAAATTTGACATACCTATTAGAAACAAGAGAACTGTGCATCCTGCTTTAACATGATACTTCTATGGGCAAGATAAAACTATCACAGCCAGAAGATAGTCTCTACTCATGCATATTTGTAAGCATCATTTATACACCATGAAGTATGCAGTAAGAGCTGAAGGTGTAGAACTCTGTTCTCACACACAGCCTAGCAGCATACTCTGAGACAATCAAAGCTTAAACCAAAAAAGAACACTTGCATGAAAATTTTAAAAATCCTTGCCACCGGGGCACCTGGGTGGCTCAGTGGGTTAAAGCCTCTGCCTTGGGCTCAGGTCATGATCCCAGGGTCCTGGGATCGAGCCCCGCATCGGGCTCTCTGCTCGGCGGATAGCCTGCTTCCCTCTCTTTCTCTGCCTGCCTCTCTGCCCACTTGTGATCTCTGTCTGTCAAATAAATAAAATCTTTAAAAAAAAAAAAAATCCTTGCCACCAGGGTTAACCTTATCCAAGATGGTTTAACTCCTACAGTATGTGAGAAAAAAAGATTCTTCTGTGGAGGGCTGGCACATAAAAATGCTAACTAGAACACATACAAAAATTACAGCTAACATTTATTCAACACTATGTTTCAGGCATTTTTCCAAGGTTTTTAGATGTATTATTCCAATTAATCCTCAACATCACGATGAGACAGAAATTTTACTATCCCCACTTATAACCAAGGAATTAAGGTCATAAAGAAATTTAGTTGCCCAAATGTTAAGTTAATGGATGCCTAGTCAAAAACAGTCTGGCTTCCAAACCCAACTTTTTAATCATTAGGCAAAGAAGGTTGCACGAAAATGTATCATACATTCTACACCCTGGAAGGGGGCTAAGTTTTAGGGAGAGAGTTTTGGTTATCTATAATGTTTGAATTATTGACAATAAGAACATATGGACTTGTAGTATTAAAACATTTCATATCTCATAAATTTAGTCACATGTTCCATCAGGCTTTCTGTGGCATTCCATTGGCACAACCTGCACTTGCCTAAATGAACAGGATCATCAGAGTAAAGCCTAACATCACAGCAGCTGGCAGGATTTGGAAAATGAGAATCCAACCACCAATAAGCTTCAAAACCTACCCCAAACCTGGATTTTAGTATGGTTGCTGAACTCCAGATCCTACTTTTATCTTCAAAAAGAGCTGTGTCCCTTCTTAGCTTAAGCTAACTCATAGTACTGAGAAATTCACAATGGTAAGAAGGAAGCAGGTGATGAAAGTTCAGACTGGGGATAAGACAAATATAGTGACTGATCATTCACCCTAATGGAATACCAACCTTGGCCACTTATTACAGACTGGCCATACATAACACTATTAAGAATAATTTTCATTAATCTTTTTATTATAGTTTTATTTCTTACCCATTAAACAAGTTTTTTCCATCTTCTTCCATATCATTCCACAGCCATTGATTAGGTTTCCTCTTCTCTATTACCTACAGGGGAAACAATTCGTAAGGTTGGGCTAATAAACAGCAAAAGAAAAGCAATTTCATGAATTTTATTTATAAATTCAAAAAAAGGATCAGTACCTAGGATATGTAGCTACATGGAATTTAGGCTTAAAAGCCCTATGGAATAGCTATTAACTTCAGGAGTAAGATCACAACAGTGATCTTGAAAATTGGGAGATTATAATCCAGCTTAATTCTGAAAACTATTACTAAGACTCTGTGTGTCCGAATATGTGCCATCTAGGTTCCACTTACATCATTTAAACTATTGCAATGTATTTTTGAATGGGAGGGGTGGAATTACAGATACATAAAACAAATCGCTACAGTAGGAAGAAACTAAAAATGGTGATGACATCCTTTAAATGGTCATTAAAAATAAAGTCCCTAACAAGCAAATTTCAAGCTTACCTCCTAGTGAAACTTGCTGAATTCTCACGTTTTCTAGTGTCCTGCAAGGCAAGAGTACAGGATGCAGAATAGCAAAGACCAGTTATCATCGTGTTGTCCATTTACTTGGACAAGACCTTATGCAAGTTTCCTAATTTGAGCTTGTTTTCTTTTTTTTTTTTTTATTAAAGATTTTTATTTATTTATTTGACAGAGAGAGAGACCACAAGCAGGCAGGGAGGCAGGCAGAGAGAGGAGGAAGCAGGCTCTCCGCAGAGCAGAGAGCCCGATGTGGGGCTCGATCCCAGGACGCTGGGATCATGACCTGAGCCGAAGGCAGAGGCTTTAACCCACTGAGCCACCCAGGCACCCCTTGAGCTTGTTTTCTAATATACTTCAGGGCACTGGTGTAAGGACTAAATGAAAATGTAGGTAAATATGAGGTCACTGCCATGCACATAGCTGATGATCAACAAAGGTTTAGCTCCCTTCTTTCCCATCTTTTTATCTTTCTACCTTTAGTTTTGAGCAATTTTCAAGCTTGAGAAAGTCCATTCTTAAGCTTCCTCACATTATTCTGCCAAATAGTAACAATAACAGTGACAATGATAGCTGCTGATGGCATTTATACAGTTTTAAATGTATGCCAGACACTCACCTAAGCACTCTCGTATGTATTAACTCATTCACTTCTCACAATGATGAGTTAGGTATTATCTTTATTTCCATTTCACAGACATTGAAACTGAGGCACAAATAAGTTCCACAGTTACTATCTGCCAGAGCTAGGATTCAAAGTCAGGTTTCTGCTCTGAAGAAATACTAGCACCAAACATCAAAGTGACAGCTGTGCCCTCCCTTCCTTGAAGAGCTCTCTAACAGTAATGCAGCCAGATAGGGAATGTTCAGATGGCTCACCAAGTAGAAAAGATTCATTTTAGGTAATTAAGATTATCTAAATATAAATATATACAAAACAAATGTAACTGAATATTAAATATAAGATTCAATATATATAAATGATAATTTATACATTTAAAAATATAGTTTATGTGTTACATATCTCAAAATATTTTAAGTATATATTTTATAATATTATTTTTTAAAGTTTAAAAAGTTGATCATGAGAATATTAATACATTTAAATTTTTAAAAAATCTAACCAAGGTTATACCTTTCTTGGAAAGGTAAGTTATGTGGTAGATTACAAAACAGAAACATCTATTATCCTATGTTATACCTTGTCTATAACTATCTTCCCCTGTAAACTCCTGGGGGATAGCAGTACCTTGTCTTACTTATTGTGAACATCAGTGACGTCTAAAACTATGCCTAGTCTTTACTAGGTGCTCAAAAAATACTGATGAAAGAACAAATAGGCTAGATACTAAGCAAAGAAAATGTTCGAATCTGTTGTTTCTATTCACATTCTAAGGTACCAACACTCCAGCCTTATTTCCTACCACGCACCCACTCTATGATTTGACTACCAGCAAGCCTTGCTGGATTTAAATGTTTTCCGTGACCCAGTCAAACATTTGGCCTATCCCAATCTATAAACTCTTGCAGCAAAATGTCATTTAACAAACAGTCTCAAGTATACAATTAATCAGAAGATTCACACACGAATGCATGCATACAACATATTGTTATGGCACTTTATGGTTTTCAAAGTGCTTCTACACCTACCCCTCAGGTGCCTCAAGACAGCCCTGAGAGCAGAAAAGGCAGGTGTGATAAGCCAGGAAGCTACATCTAATGGTGTTTGTTTTGAAGTGGAAACATATTTTCATTGTCACTGCTGAAGAACCAACAGCTCAGAAACCAATGCTTTCTCTGTAGCTGGGTAGAAAGTCTTAAAAATGATATATTTTTAAGTCCATGTTGTAAGTAATTTTTTAAAGTATGAATAATCAGTTATATCTTTTTTAAATATTTTATTTGAGAGAATGAGCGAGTGAGAGAGAGCGCACACGTAGAGGGAGGGTAGAGGGAGAAGGAGAAGCAGACTATCTCTGAGAAGGGAGCGCCCAACACGGGGCTTGATCCCAGGACTCTGGGATCCTGACCTGAGCTGAAGGCAGACACTTAACTGACTGAGCCACCCAGGCGCTCCTGATCCGTCATATCTAATCAAAGTAAAAATAAGCCTTAGAAGATACAAAGGCAGAGTAAACTCATACAATAAGGAAAAATTTTAGATGCATCCACCATTGAATAAAGAGACCTCATGTAAAATTTTAAGATCACGATTAAATGTTTCTTGAATGTTATATTAGGAATTCCAGCAGGAAAAGAGAAAGCTAGGCTGGACTATCAGCAAACCTGGGTTTCAGTCCTCGTTCTGCCACTGAAGAGTTCTGTGATCTCCTGGCCCACTTAAATTTGAAATTCCACAATTTGCACATAATACCCAGAGTAAATAATAATGTAAAAAGAAACGTGTAACACTTTACATTTCAGAGTACAGTATGGATAGCATGAACAAAAAAGTTCAAGGTCTGCTGACTTTACTTTTCTATGATTCTAAGTTATTAGTTGCTATGGGTTTTACCAGTTAATAGCCCTTATGGTTTAAGTTCAAATTCAGGACCTCTATACAGAAACTGGAAAACAGATAGATTTATGATTTTCTGGGAAGTACAAAGCATGCTAGGACTGCACTTACACACTGTGGCTCAGGATAATTTAGGTGGTAAAATCTAAGTTCACTGGCCAAATGAACTGATTTCTTAGAAGCTGTTTATTAAAATGCTTTTTTGCCATGAAACAGAAATGTGCCCATGGGTTTACAAAGTTTTATTATACAGTGTACACAGAATGTTAACCTAACTATGAGCTTCCTAAGAACAGAGTGCTTCTCATTCTTTCTAGTATCCTATTGATTTTTTTTTAAGATTTTATTTATTTGACAGAGACAGAGAGCACATACACATGCAGAGGGAGTGGGAGAAGGAGAAGCAAGCTCCCCACTGAGCAGGGAGCCCAATGTGGGGCTCGATCCCAGGACCCTGAGATCATGACCTGAGCCAAAGGCATATGCTTAACCAACTGAGCCACCCAGGCACCCCAGCTATTGACTTTATATTGTTGACTGAATGATTGATAGAGGACGTCTTCTTTTAAACTGACCTTTATCTCAAAGTGTACTTCTTGGACAATATGCTTTCTAATATTTACAAAGTATTTTCAGTTGAAAACTTCACATGGCAGGGGCACCTGGGTGGGTCAGTTGGTTAAGCATCAGACTTTTCATTTTGGCTCAGGTCATGATCTCTGGGTTGTGAGATTGAGCCCTGCACTGGGCTTCACACTCAGTGCAGAGTCTGCTTAAGATTCTCTCCCTTTCCCTCTGCCTTCCCCATTCCTCCCACTCATGCACTCTCTCTCAAATAAATAACCTTTAAAAAAAAACAAAGCAAAACAAAACAGGTGTGTTTGGGTGGCTCAATTGGCTAAGCATCTGCCTTCGGTTCAGGTCGTGATCCCAGCATCCTGGAATCATGTCCCACATCAGGCTCCCTGCTCAGTGGAGAGCCTGCTTCTCCCTCTCCCTCTGCTGCTCCCCCTGCTTGTGCTCCCTCTCTCTCTCAAATAAATAAATAAAATCTTTAAAAAAATAAAAATTTTTAAAAAAGCAAACCCTCCAAAACCCAAAAACTTCACATGGCATTTATCACTATTAACTGTATTTTTTTTCATCTCTCCATATGTACGTATTTGTTTTAGAACAAAACACTTCACATTATTTTAGCCTTCCAAAATAAAGACAAATTGGGACCAACACAATGACGTGTAAGAGATCCAGAGTCTCAGACTAAAAGTTGGTGAAGCTCCACATTAGGAATTTTTTTCCCTAAATGCCTGTGTGACTCAGTCAGTTAAGTGCTGGACTATCAGTTTTGGCTCAGGTCATGATCTCAGGGCTCTGGGATTGAGCCCCAAGTCCTGGGCTCCATGCTCAGCACAGAAACTGCTTGGGATTCTTTCCCTCTTTCTCTCCCTCCCTTGACTCATGCTCACCAATGTGCTCTCTCTCTCTCTCCCTGTCAAATAAATAAATATATACACAATTTTAAAAAAGTTTTAGGGGTGCCCGGGTGGCTCAGTCAGTTAAGCATCTGCCTTCGGCTCAGGTCATGATCTCAGGGTCCTGGGATCTAGTCTCACATTGAGCTCCCTGCTCAGCAGGAAGCCTGCTTCTCCCTCTCCCTTTGCCCCTCCCCCATCCATGCTCTCTCTCACACACATGCACACCTGTGTTCTCTCACTCACAGAAATAAATAAAATCTTTTTAAAAAAAGTTTTAGAATCCACCTGCTTTGATTGACTTCCATATCTAACAATAAGATATTAGATGGGTCTGTTTATTTATAAGGGGCAAAAGAACACAGAAGAGTGCAAGAGCCTTAGATTTAGAATCATAAAGCTTGGGTTTAAGCCTCAGGTTATCCCTCATTAGCAGTGTAACCTTGGGCAACTCACTATTGTCTTGGGACCTCTACCTTCTCAATTCTACTCCCTTCTGAGGGTGTTGCACAGATCAAATACGAAAATGTATGTGTAAGCGCATTGTAAACTGACAAGAGCTACACATGGGTTAGCCCTTATTTCCCCGCTACCAAAAATAGCAAAGACTTTAGATCCTTATTCTGGTGAGAAGAGACATTGATATTTGAACTTTCCAGGGGCTTGGGGGAGCATGCTAGGATAAAAGAACCTGATCTTTCCTGTGGAGCTAAAGAATCCTAAAATGTTTTTGGTACCTGCATCTTTAGTTAAATAACATCCTGGTCTTAACTAACAGCTTATAGGGATTAAAGGGCATGAGATATTAGCCACCCTGGGAATTTCTTCTCACCAAAAAATAAAATGATTTAAAAGCAAGAGCAGATATACTTGCATTCTCCCCATCATCCAAGATCAATATATGCAAACAAAAGCAAGACCAAAGCCCATTTCGTTTGTAGGGCAGCAGCCACAAAAATAGCCTTCCGTCTAGGATGCACCAGAGCTGCCATTCCATCACTGTGCTGAAATCGACTCCTGCTTTCCTACTCCC